CCCATGCCCGTCGGTCTGGTAGCGAGTCAATGATTCCTTGGCGAATACTTTGACAAATTCCCGATATTGATCCGGAATCTTCCCCCTCGGTCATCCTCTCCTTCTCTTTTTTTTTCCGCTTCTTCTGCGAATTTCTGCGCCGGCGTTTCCTTCAGCCGCAGATCCACTTCCTTCCCAAAATCGACCAACAGGATCGATTCTCCCTCTTCCAGATCCGGCGTGCTCGTGTCCAGGTCGATTGCATCCATGTCAATCATTGCTTGATGTTCCTCGTGACCCCTCATGTGACACCGCTCTGGGCATCGGCTGAATCTCATGGTCTGCTCCTGCCAATCCACCTCGGGTTGTGTTCCGTCAGCCAATCAAGACCAATGAAGATCCGAGCTTTTCCTAAACACGTCAGAAGGAATGTGCGTGTCTCCACGTGAGGCCGATTCTCATCCTTAGGTCAACGTAATGCGTGATCCGACCGCTGATGTTCTCGGTGTTGTTGGCGTTACGGGCCACAATGGGTTGTGGAAGCTCTTGAATATCCAACTTCTCCGCCCGTGCGTAGTCGGTATCGATGCAACAGGTACTGCAGCCACTATCGAGCAGCGCCTTGACTCCGCGCGTTTTCCCTGAGTCCAGACCCGTGATTTGGACATATACGTCCATCGAATGTCTCTTCCTTTTGGCCTGGTAGTCGCGCAATTCCTGCGCCAGTCTGCCGGGCTGCGGGCCCTTCTGTCTCTCTCTCGGCCGCCAATTTCCTTTGAACGGCATCTGGCACCCTCGTTCGTTTGGGTATTTCTGGAACCCTTATTTCGGCAGATTCCTTGGGCGCTTCCTCCTTTTTCAAGGATTGAGCCTCCGGAGCAATGCTCCCCTTTTCGGTCTTTGTTGACGTGGTTCCTTCTCCACGAGCCATAAATACGTAGGAGTCCAAAATTAATTTATCCGCAGTTTTTTGATCCTTTTTACTCTGTAAATACTCTCTATTTAAAGCTATTTTCCTTTGTCGTTCTTTTTCATATCAGCGACGAGAAAATCATGAATATTAGTACGTAGGGAGTCTGAGATCGTGTATGTATGAGGAGAATCGTTCATATCTTTAATCGAAACAAGTCCAGAAAATCGTCCATAGTCCGGACGCTCCCCCTCCTGGCTAGAGGAGTGGAGCGCTTCAAAAACCCTTCTCGCGCAGCTTCTCGGCAATCTCCTTCAGGAACTCGTTGTCCTTGTCCCCGTTCTCGATTTCTTCCAGCATTGTGGCCCGATTGAAGAACGTGCGCTTCTTCTTGGGCTCCGGGCAGTTCCGCGCAATGTGCCCGGGCTGCTGACAGTTGTAGCAGATGATATTGCGGCCGCGGGCGTGGGTGCAATCGATTTCCATCGGAACCGGTTCGTTGGCAGCGGGCCGGCCGGGCGGGTGCAGGTGTCATTGGGGCTACCTGCGGGCGGAATTGGGGCGGCGGTCGTGGTGCGGATTGCGCATGCGATGCTTTGCGCAGCTGATCGCGTAGAGCGTTTGCCTCAATGTTGACACACCAGTTCTTGAAGGCACCATATGCCTTGGGAAGGGAACGCCAGTGTTGTAGAGGCGGTGAAATGCTGAGGGCGTGCTCACAAGTGAATCTACTATGAAAGTAAACCCAAATATAAACACGTTCACACTCCTCGTAATCAGCTTCTCAGTGTGTGAAAGATGCGAGGGCTTCGGGGTGGACAGAGCACCAGTATCACAACTCTCAATAGACGCAGATCCAATAGTCGCGGAGACGGAGTCGACGACAAGAATTTATATATAGCAAACAATGGTGTCTCAACCAATATCTTCTATACAAACACAACCAACACTAATCCAATCCACAACCAACAATATAACAAGTCAGAGCTTAATACAAAGTATTAAGATCCCTTGTAGCGACAGCGCCTAGATGGTGACGCAAAGCCCAAGTATCAAGTCGACGCACTGCCAACCGGTACAACCAATACTGAGTCGAGGCACTGCCAACTAGTAAACCCAAATGTTGAGTCGACGCACTGCCAACTGACACAACCAAAGTACTGAGTCGACACACTGCCAACTAGTAAACCAAAATGCCGCGTCGACGCACTGCCAACTAACAGCCAATATCCAATGTCCAAAACCCGAGCACAACTTGTCGACGCACTGCCAAGCAAGAGGTGTGGAACCAAAGTTCTCAAGTCGACGCACTGCCAACTGACCAAAACAACCCGAGCACAACTAGTCGACGCACTGCCAAGCTAGAGGTGTGGAACGATCTCAACAAAGCCCGAAGGCGACGACACTAAATGCCGCGACTAAACCAGATGCGGCGAATCCGACTTTCTGATTTCTCAGCTCAAAACTCAAATCACAGTAGCTACAAGTGCTCAGGGAGCAACTCGTCGCGACCGGGCAGGGGTAGCAGAACTTCTTAGGGTGGAATCACGCGACACACGCAAATTGTACAAAACATCTGAAATGAGAGTGATTCACAGTCCGGGGAAAGCTTTCTAATACAAAGAACAACGTGCTACTTATACTGTCTACAACAATGCTTAGTAAAGTCTTGTACAACTGCATAGTAGCTACGCTATCTAAGATCGGTTGCCTTTTAGGGTAATTGAAAAGTTGAACGATCGGACAGGTCCTGAGTGATCAGGACCCCGCCCCATAGTCCATATGATACTTTTGATGTGGGTCAACCCACCGCGTCATACTTTTGGAATACGACGTGCTGGATTGGCCAACGGGTATGTCTTGGCATGTGAACCAACGTGGGCGCCCCAAGAAGCCGTATGGCCCTAGGCGCGCCAGTCGTCCCCCACATGGCTCGGTTCACGGGTCTAGCCGTGTTGATTTTAGTGTGTTTGGGTATGGGCGCGACTCGCCGTGACACTTGGAAGTGTCACCGCGACGCGTCCACAGTGTCCCGTGATTGAATGGATCCTGACATGTGACAAGTCGTCGTCGTGGCATGATCTGAGGAAACGTCCAACCCAAAACCGGAGTTGCCGCAACAAGATGGTTTAAGTCTCGTAACGCCAAGTCCTGTCCAGTAGTAGTTCTATTATTGAGGACGTCGCGCCTTGCTCAGCCCTTCAGCCCAAGTTCCCATCTGCAGAGAATGACCCTTTTTGAGAAGTCGACGCAACGACAGATCCCTTTTTGGGGAATGGTCGCGGTCCAAGCGTTCGTCACTAATGGCCCTGAGCCTGGTGTAGACTCATAAGACCAGTTCCACAGTAGTGGTCTGACTGCCTTGCTATCATCGACACTATCCACAGTCGTCGACTGGGCAGTAGACCCATAAGTCCTACTGAGCGCAACACTGTCAACCGCGACACGATACACCGAATGGTTCAAGAGTAAACTCTGTAAAAAGTGCAAAAATACGCCCTTACAGAGTTGGTGCAGAGCGCATCTGGTAGCCAGCCTATCAACGGATTATCTTATCATGGATCATGGCATCTGACGGTCCGGGCTAGGAGTCTAGGGATTATCTTTATTGATTCAAGGCTGTGCGACATATGCTCCGGAAGGTTCTACTACAACCCATGACCAGCGCTCTATGCAGTACATAGCCTTACGACTCATTAGTTGTAGATATGACTCAGATTGGACTTGGGTATAAATACTGTAGCTACTTGGTTGTATTCTCCAGTCTTTGAATTATGTGACAATCATACATACTAATATTCACGATTTTCTTGTTGCCAAGATGGAAAAGAACGCAAGGAAAAAATAGCTCTAAATAGAAAATATTTACAAGATAAAAAGGATCAGAAAACAGCAGCTGCAGATAAATTATTGGACTTCTACGTATTTATGGCTCGTGGAGAAGAAACCACGTCAACAAAGACCGAAAAGGGGAGCATCACTCCAGAGGCTCGATCCTTGAAAAGGAGGAAGCGCCTAAGAAATCTGCCAAAATCAAGGTTCCAGAAGCACCCAAACGCACCAGGGTGCCAGATGCCGTCCAGAGAAATTGGCGGCTGAGAAGCAGAAGGGTCATCAGCCCAGCAGATTGGCGCAGGAATTGTGCAGCTACCAGGCCGAAAGGAAGAGGCACTCAATGGACGTATATGTCCAGATCACGGGTCTGGACTCAGGGAAAACGCACGGAGTCAAGGCGCTACTCAATAGTGGTTGTAGTACCTGTTGCATCGATACCGACTATGCACGGGCAGAGAAACTGGATATCCAAGAAATTCTGCAACCCATTGTGGCTCGTAACGCTGACAACACCAAAAACATCAGTGGTTGGATCACGCACTATGTCAACTTAAGGATGAGAATTGGCCCTCATGTGGAGACACTCACGTTCCTTTTGATGTGTCTAGGGAAAGCCCGGATCTTCATTGGTCTTGACTGGCTGATGGAACACAACCCTGAGGTGGACTGGCAGGAGCAGACAATGAGATTCAGCCCATGCCCATCGCGGTGTCACATGAGGGGTCACAAGGAGCACCAAGCAATGATCAACATGGATGCTATCAACCTGGACACAGGCGCAGCGGATCTGGAAGAAGGAGAATTGATCCTGCTGGTCGACTTTGGGAAGGAAGTGGATCTACGGCTGAAGGAAACACCGGCACAGAAGTTTGCAGAAGAAGCGGAAAAGGAGAAGGAGAGGATGACCAAGGGAAAGATTCCGGATCAATATCAGGAAATCGTTCGACTCGCTACCGGACCAACGGGCATGGATCATGCAATTGAGCTCAAACCTGGTTCCAAAGCAGTGGACTGCAAGGTGTACCTGTTATCACGAAATGAATAGGTCAAACTCAATGAGTTCTTACAAGAGAACCTGGCCAGCGGATGGATCAGGCCATCAAAATCACCCATGGCATCAGCATTCTTCTTTGTCAAGAGGAAAGATGGTTTGCTACACCCCATCCAAGATTATCGGGAGCTGAATGAGATGACAATCCAAAATCGATACCCACTGCCGCTGATCTCTGAACTGGTCCATAATCTATGCGGTGCCAAGTTCTTCACCAAGCTTGACATCCAGTGGGGATACAACAACGTACAGATCAAAGAGGGCGACGAGTGGAAGGCTGTATTCTGCACAAACCGCAGACTGTACAAGCCCTTGGTCATGTTCTTTGGTCTCACAAATTCCCTGGCAACCTTTCAAAACATGATGAACGACATACTCCAAGAACTGATCAACAATGGTCATGTGGTAGTCTATCTTGACAATATACTGATCTTCACAGAGAACTTGGACAAACATCGGTGGATCACAAACAAGTACTCAAATTGCTCCAAAACCACAAGTTGTACCTGAAACCCGAAAAGTGCAAGTTCAAACGCACAGAGATCGAACATCTGGGGGTAATTATTGGACACAATTTGATGCGGATGGACCCAGTCAAGATCAAGGGCGTGATGGAATGGCCTGAACCAAAAAGTGTCAAACAAGTCTGAGCATTCCTGGGGTTCACCAACTTCTATCGGCGCGTTGTCCGGGGATATGCAGAGGTCGCCAAGCCATTGACACGACTGCGGAGGATGCGGTCTTAGCACTGCCAAATGACACCGGCCAATATCGTCTGGAAGCCGATGCTTCGGAAGGGGCAACAGGATCTGTTTTGAGCCAAAACCAAGATGGCATTTGGCACCCAATTGCATTTATTTTGCATGCATTGACTGAAACCAAGCGAAATCACGAGATCTACGACAAAGAAATGCTTGCAATCATGCTATCATTGGATGAATGGAGGCAGTTACTCCTGGGAGCCATGCAAACATTTGAGATCTTCACTGATCATCAGAATCTTGAGTACTTCTGGAAGCCACAGAAACTCAATCGACGGCAAGCACAATGGATCACAGAGTTGGCAGAGTTTGATTTCACCTTACAACACCGGCCTGGCGCACTCAACCACAAGGCAGATCTCTTATCTCGATGAGCGGATCACGATCAGGGCAGAACGACAACAAGGATGTCACTTTGCTGAAGCCTGAATTCTTCCGATCACAAGAAGTTACATTCGAGGGGCAAGATCAGCAGCTAATTGATGGGATGAAGGCCACTTGATCAATTGACGGAAGCGTCAAAGCGGCCTTGGAGAAGTCACTTGCCAGATGAAAAAGGAAGATGGGCTCATCACGTACCATGGGAAGCTCTACGTACCAAGGGACGAGGAGCTGCGGGACAAGATCATTGGGCTACACCACGACACACCTTTGGTCAGACACGCTGGGATCAACCGAACGCAGGAGATGGTGGAAAGGAATTACTGGTGGCCAAGGATGGGAAACCAAATCCGGAAATACATCCAGACGTGCGAGGCGTGCCAGCAGACCAAGACCAGGAGAGCAAGGACAGGGAGTTTACACCTGCATGCAGTCCCAAACGCGCCGTGGGAAATCATCTCCATGGATCAGATCGGACCCTTGCCGGTCAGTAACGGGTATGACGCAATTCATGTGTGGTGTGACACCTTCACCAAAATGATCCATGTCGAACCAATTAGTACTGACATCAGCAGCAAAGGAGTGGCACGATTAACCAGGGACCGAGTTTTCCGCTACCACGGGATCCCTCGCAAGATCATCACCAACAGGGATTCGCGTTACCTCAAGGGCTTCATGAGGGAGACAAATCAGATGTTGGGCGTGGAAATGAACCCGGGACCGCATATCACCTGATCATGGATGGGCAGACAGAACGCATGAATCAGGAGATCGAGCATTATCTCCGCATCTACGTCAATTACCATCAGACGGACTGGTTGGAGTGGCTGGGAATGGCGGAGTTCGCATACAACGACAAGATGAACGCGTCTACCAAAATATTGCCCTTCTATGCGAATCACGGATATCACCCGTGGAAGGGAGTGGAGCAACGGATGGAGTCAAGGAACGAGTCGGCGGAGGAATTTGTAAAAAGAATCAAAGAAATACAAGACGAAGCAAAAGCAGCACTAGAAAAAGCAAAAGAAAAATGAAAAAATACTATGATAAACAAAGAAAGAAGTTCCGGAGTTGAAGGTTGGAATGAAGTGTACATAGAAGGGGACAATATTGAGATGGATAGACCATCAAAGAAGATGAGCAACAAGAGATTGGGACCATACAAGATATTGGAGAAGGTTGGAGCAGCCGCATGGAAGCTGGATCTGCCAGACACGGACCGGAGACACCCGGTGTTCAACGAGTCACTGTTGACACCCTATCATGAACCACCCCCCCATCGCCAAGAGAAGAGACCCATAGCCAAGATGATTGGAGGAGCAGAAGAGTGGGAAGTCAAGGAAATTGTGAAGGAACGGAACATTGGCCGAGGAAAGCAGTACTTGGTCAAATGGAAGGGATGGCCACATAGCAAAAATACCTGGGAACCATCATGTCACCTTACCCACGCAAAGGACGTCCTGAGCGACTGGCAGAGGAAACAATCAAACCCAGACACACGTATTCACCTCCTGCCAACACTTGAAGCCGGACATTGGGACTATCTCATTCACCGCTACAAACCCCAAGTGGAGCACCATCCATATCCCCAATGACAACTATTCGACCCCTACAAAAACGTCTTCACGCCCATTGGCCCAGTTGATGAGGACATCGACCCTAGAGAGGGGTAATGTCATAGTTTGGCCACTTTTTCATCTTATCATCGACCATCTTATCTTATCTCAGCACGGATTATCTTATCACAGATCACGGCATCTGACGGTCCAGGCTAGGAGTCTAGGGATTATCTTTATCGATTCAAGGCTGCGCGACATATGCTCTGGAAGGTTCTACTACAACCCATGACCAGCGCTCCATGCGGTACATAGCCTTATGACTCATTAGTTGTAGATATGACTCAGACTGGACTTGGGTATAAATACTGTAGCTACTTGGTTGTATTCTCCAGTCTTCGAATTCACTTCTCTTTTCGACTTTGTTTTGGGTTGATTGTCACACCCCTGCGCATTGGGTGTTGTACTGCCAGGAGCTGTAATTGGCAAGACAGCAGCAGTCTTCTGTACGGTGTGAATCTTTGGTAGTGTGCCCTTCCCCTGAGCTTTTGCAGCCAATTTCTCATGCACCTCCTGGTAAGGGATGGGGAATATGTTGCTCATTGTCTGCCAAAGTGGTCAGTGGAGCTCTTATATATTGCGGGCAGAAACTTGCCTTGCATTTATGTGCAGCATGTTCCCTAATTTGGCCAGTGTTCCAATATGCAAGCTCATCACTGCATGCAACACAGTATGTCATGGCCCAATCCACACTCTTGCTATTCTTGCTGACTTCCTTGATAATCAGCCCACCTCAGTTACCACCACCATCACGTGGTTCTCCCCCCGCGGGGTACCTACTGGGTACCCTCAGCAAGACGTCTGAGGGTACCCCGTGGGGAGAGAACCACGTGATGGCGGTGGTAACTGAGGTGAATCAGCCTGTCAATCAAGTCATCCTGTGGCCAACCAGCTGTATGTTGCTTGGGACTCAGAGTGCAAGATGGGCCAGTCGTACCCTCTTTGGTGGCCCCTTCAATGTGGAGGATCCTCTGGGCCTGAATAGCCAGATGCTTCAGCAAAAGCTTACAACTGTTGAGTGTGCCATTCAGGTCTGCTGCCTTCTTTGCTTTCTTTGACGCATCCAAGACACGGAATCTTGTTTTTGGCTCCGTCATGACACCAGGCGGCTGTATTAGATCTGTCAGGTCTTGTGGATTGATCACACATGTTGCACATACTGGGGTGGTGGGAGTTTGTCTTCTGTGGTGGATATCAGAGCATCGACATGAGCAAGTCACTTGGCATGTTCTTCACTCCCCAATGTCGTGTGCAGCTCAATGACACCTACAAAGTTGGGGATACTGTAGTCTTCCTGTTCAATGAACGCTGTGTGGGCTGTGATGAGGCAGCCCGAGTCTTCTTTTGATAGCAGCATGCTGCTTGTGGGGACCCAAGAGAAGGGTGCAAAAAACGTAAATCGTGATTTTGTGATTACTACCGGACTGGGATCATACAAGAATGATTATGGATTTATAGCAATAAAAAGCACACTGATTTTGGATCACCTTGGCTATAAATGTTTAAAACATTTTAAAAAGCAGCTATAAACTTTTTGTTTAAAACATTTGCATTTTCAGCACAGCGCTAGCGCTGAGCCACGCTCCGAAACTTCAGAAATGATGCATTTGATAGGAGATGCAGATTGTATTTTGATGCGAAGATTTTGATCGAGGGCGGCTTTACGCCTGATATATCCTATTTTCTACCCGCTCTACTGATGCCACAGAAGCACAAGCCTGCTCCTGCTCTTCGTATTCTCGCTACTTCGTCCTGACTCGTAGACAACTGGCCGCGGATCTCTGACTGCAAGCGAGGATCTCTCCTCTTCAACGCAAGCGCTGGAAGAAAAAGTTAGATGGGAGGCGGTGCAATGACAGGTCGAGAACAAATTATGAAGATTAGGGATCAAATCAGATTTCCTTAGCTCAGTGATGTATTCAACCTGATCATCATAAGTTTCAGCGGCATCAACGATCGTTGCAGAGACCTCAGCCATGATCGCTCCTCAATTCTCACGTCGTCCATTCAGCCCATCCGTTCGGCAGGTCATCAGCCAGCATATATCCAGGGATGTAGCGTTTTCCCCACTATCTGATCCCCCCACTTACCTGCACGTCCTCGAAACGGGAGGATGATTTCTTTCGGTGATTTTTTGGGCGCATGGGGTTGAAATGAACGTTGCTGCTAACCAGTCTATTCCCTAGTCGCGGTCCTTTTCATGGCAGTGCTGGCTTATCTGCCCTACAGCTGTACGTACAAGGCTGAAATGTAATGACTGAAAACGTTTTCCTGACGGCCTGAAAGCCGCAGCTGTTCTTCTGCCTGCAAACTTGTTCGATCTTACAAGGCGCGATCTGGGCTCGAGCGGATTCACCTCCGCGTCGTGGATCTGGCTCTCCACGCCCTCCTCGTCACCTTTCACACACAACGCTCCAGCCGGCACCGCATCCTTCCTCAAACTTCTTCCCACCCCGCCCAACAAATCTGCGTCCTCGGCGCTCATCACCATCACCGCCGATGACTCATTCACACTCTGGGTCAACGGGCCACCTCAGTTACCACCGCCATCACCCGGTTGCACCCCCGCGGGGGTCCTCCTGGGTACCCTCAGACGTAGCTCTGAGGGTACCTAACAGGTACCCCCCTGCGGGGCCCGCGGGGGGATTTGGTCCATTTGGGGGCGGGGCATATGCGGGGGTCAGCAGGGGGGGTCTGTACATGTCATGTGATTTATCATTGGGAGCGGGCAGGTGGGTGCGAAAAAAAAAATGAATCACATGACACATCCAATGGGCGGGATGGCGGCTGATGGCGGGGTAAAAAAATCACGTGATGCACCGCATGAAAATTATCAAAAATGGCTAGCAGGGGTTGGCGGGGTTGGCGGGGGCGCTACTGGCCCCCCGCACACCATGGCGGGCAGTGGGCGCATTATCACGTGACTTTTGGGGCACCTTTTGTGCACCATTCGGCATGATTTCGGAGGTGTTGCTTGATCCATTGCATGCTGTGGCAGACAATGGGCGCATAATCACGTGATTTTCCGCCCAAAAAAATGGAAGCCTTCCCCAAATCATCCTGGTATCATTTCTATTGGTAAATACACTAGTTAAGCATGAATTTGAGCTTAGAAAGCCCAAAATGCACCCTGCACAATGGGACTGGTGATGCACTTGATCCCATCATTTGGCGGGGTCTGCTGCGGGGGTGCCACGGGGGTGCTGCGGGGGGTGCTGCGGGGGGTGCCGCAGGGGGTGCCACAAGGGGTGCCGCAGGGGGTGCCGCAGGGCCCGCTGTGGGGTCAACCACAGGAGCAGGGGTAGGGGTGCATTGCATCATATTTTGATCTATCTATTCTCGCTGTGGTCATAGCATGCAGCATAATTATCCTTCATTTTGCCAGGAGTTTGGAGGCTGTGTCTGGGGTTGGTCTGCAGCTACAGCCATGTGACTCCCTGATGCTTCGGCAGGGGCTGGGATATCAAAACTGTGCAATATTGTCTGCATAATCCAGGCATGTAGGGTTAAAAAGAAAGTGTGATTTGTTCATTTTTGGCTGGCAGGGTAGGTGGGCTGACATCATGGGCTGCATCGGGTCCACTGTCAACTCATTGATTGTTTCGTCTGCTCATTCTATACACATGCCCATTGGTAAGCTGATCATGCTGTAGGCACAGTCTAATCTTACCCAGTGGATAATACCACACGTTAATTATGCACCTAATGTCACACTTCCTGTCTGGGACTCATTGAAGTTCATCTGTTCTGTGTTACTTTACAAGCAGTTTGCTTTAGTTGCAACATGAACAGATGTAATAGAGTGGATTTGACATGCCCTGAATTGATTCCTAGGTGGAATATGAGACAATGGATTCACCAGCGAGTTGCCTCACAATAGTCAGAGATTGGTAATATTTGAATTTCAAATTTCATATACAACACTCTGTGCACTCAGAGCTCGTATATTTGCAAGATAGACTGTAGAGACATAGATGGTTACTTTTACTACCTCTGGGGCTGCACACATCCTTGCCATGACCCACTGCCTGCACCCCTGCTGGTACCCCCATTGGCACCCCCGCCGGCACCCCTGTTGGCACCCCCGCTGGCACCCCCGCTGGCACCCCCGCCAGTCTAGCACCCCCCGCTGCACCGGTGCCTTGTCCCCGTGATTTTCTTATATGTAAGATTATGTAAACTGACAGCTCGGAACACGTCAAGTCACTAGCCAATCAGAACCTGTATAAACGTCGTACCTAAGTGTTTACTGCTCTTCTAACACTGTTCCTACAGTTATGCAGCTGAAAACCATCGGAATAAGGTCTCCTTCTGCTATTCTTATTGAATATGTAGATACTTCATATCATTTGTCCACCTAAAATTCAAAACATGAAAAGAGTTCACCATTGCTCAAGGTTCCTATGTAGACAATGGTTCAACATGGTTCACTTTGGGTATGGCCAAAATATTTTTTCTACACACAAGCAATTCAATACAGCTGAATGATATACTCTTTGGCAGTGCCTGAAACAAATTCTGAGAGCCCTGGACCCTGGAACTATTCAAAAACTTGAAATGAGTCCGAAAAATAGGGTCTTGATAAACATGAGATATGGGCTGGTTTGAAGAGACATGGGCCACCGGTCATGTTGAATATAGTATTTTACAATGTTTCGGTGCCCTACCTCTCATCACATGGCCTCATTTCCTACTAAAAGGGTGCATACACACTCAAGCTCATAAAATCAATTGTCACCCAGAAACAAGAGCAGTGAAGTTGTTTCACTGGGATTGGGTAAAGGTTACCTAGAAGTCACTTGGGTTGCAGTACAGAAGCTTTGGAAAGTGATTTTGTAGTTGATCCACATTTGGTAGGCTGGCAGATGCTTGTGCACCCCCACGGCACCCCCCGTGGCACCCCCCGCGGCACCCCCTGTGGTTGACCCCCCCCCAACCCCTGCAAGGATTTAATTGACAAATGTCCTGCTCAATCCATTGTAAGAGTCTACAGTATTATTGGATTCAGTAAAGGGCCCAAATGGTGTGTAGACAAGAAGTATGAAATCCGGAAATCAACAATTATGACACCTCCACGGAATATGCTGCAAATGGAGAGAAAAATTTGAGTGCAGACAGACTACCTGAAGCAAACAGACAGAGAAAAGAAACATTAGCCATTTCTTGTTGATGATGTTGGCTGTCCCTGGAGCATGTACTTGGGAGATTTGCCTAACAAATCAAGTTGCACATTTTTCAAATTTTTAGTTTGACCTGACAGCTTGAGCAGACCATGCTAAAATGAACCAAGTCATATATATCAGTGCCCCAAGCCAAGCCAAAAGATTTAGGTAAATTTGCACAGTTTTGATATCCCAGCCCCTGCCGAAGCATCAGGGAGTCACATGGCTGTAGCTGCAGACCAACCCCAGACACAGCCTCCAAACTCCTGGCAAAATGAAGGATAATTATGCTGCATGCTATGACCACAGCGAGAATAGATAGATCAAAATATGATGCAATGCACCCCTACCCCTGCTCCTGTGGTTGACCCCACAGCGGGCCCTGCGGCACCCCCTGCGGCACCCCTTGTGGCACCCCCTGCGGCACCCCCCGCAGCACCCCCCGCAGCAGACCCCGCCAAATGATGGGATCAAGTGCATCACCAGTCCCATTGTGCAGGGTGCATTTTGGGCTTTCTAAGCTCAAATTCATGCTTAACTAGTGTATTTACCAATAGAAATGATACCAGGATGATTTGGGGAAGGCTTCCATTTTTTTGGGCGGAAAATCACGTGATTATGCGCCCATTGTCTGCCACAGCATGCAATGGATCAAGCAACACCTCCGAAATCATGCCGAATGGTGCACAAAAGGTGCCCCAAAAGTCACGTGATAATGCGCCCACTGCCCGCCATGGTGTGCGGGGGCCAGTAGCGCCCCCGCCAACCCCCGCCAACCCCTGCTAGCCATTTTTGATAATTTTCATGCGGTGCATCACGTGATTTTTTTACCCCGCCATCAGCCGCCATCCCGCCCATTGGATGTGTCATGTGATTCATTTTTTTTTTTCGCACCCACCTGCCCGCTCCCAATGATAAATCACATGACATGTACAGACCCCCCCCTGCTGACCCCCGCATATGCCCCGCCCCCAAATGGACCAAATCCCCCCCGCGGGCCCCGCAGGGGGTACCTGTTAGGTACCCTCAGAGCTACGTCTGAGGGTACCCAGGAGGACCCCCGCGGGGGTGCAACCGGGTGATGGCGGTGGTAACTGAGGTGCAACGGGCAGCCCGTCGGCGCGTCGCCTCCGGGCGACGGGAGATGGAAGACGGCGTTCCAGTTCAGCGCCGCGCTCAACGCGTCGGACAACAT